GCTAAGTGGCTCTGTCTTATTTTCAGCTGGTCTCTGTCCTACCCTAGTGATTCAGTTTCTCTTGGTTGAAGTCTCTGCTGTGGAGAAATACCAGCAATTAAGTCACCCCGCCCCCCACAAACAACAGTTGGGCAAGGAAAATCAAACCTTCCCTCAACCATACACCTAGGGTGCCCCTTTGAATAGTCCCTGGGTGGTCTGCCCAGTTTAAGCCAGGGACTATTCAAAGGGGCACCCTAGGTGGTCTGCCCAGTTTAAGGGGTCCAAATCAGTTGTCCCAGTCAGCACCAGTTTCAGGTGGAAGAGTTCAAATGTCTCTGGCAGCTAGATAAGGTGGGGGGGTCTGCTTGCAGCTCAGATACAACTTGCTTCAGTGCTCTGTGAGGGCAAAGGGACCCACCCAGCAAATGGTTTAGTCTGGGAAGGTTAATACCTACTTACCCACCTTGCACCCAGTCACTCATAATCCCCCATGTCTCTGACCCTATTCACTCCAATCCCAGCTAAATTCCTCTGCAAGTCAGAGGCTGCTAGAGCTGATAAGGAACTCAATCCTGGGCAGCAAACAATTAGAGTTTACACTCAGGTGCCAATCCCAGCCTTTGCCTGCCCACTGCCTTTGTCTCAGCTATATTCCCCTAAGGGCTGGTGCTAATTGTCTCTTTACTTACAAAAGTTACCAAGTCCGTTCTGCCTGTGGCTGCTGTCTGGAACCTCTGGTTGCCCAGAGAGACATGCTCGCCTATCTGGAATGGCATCAGTTCGCAGCTCAGGATACCACTGTTGCTGTATGGCTTCCTCTGAGCCAACTTTCTTCTCCTCACTCCTGTGCCACAGTCAGCACAGAGCAGCACCAGCCCTTTCCCCCTCAACTTCTCTCAAGGAAATGCCCAAGAATCTGGACTCCATAGGTAACAAACCTCCAGACCTTGGGGTGAGGGAGGGAATCCTTGGAGTTCAATGTTGCAGGTGGGGAATATATACAGTTTTATACAGTTTTACAGTTTTATGCCTGGCAAGAGGGTGCTGTGGCATGCCAGCAGGGGTAGGCTGTCCAGTTTTTAGGGGGTTCTCTCCTGTGGGATAGAGTGGGAGGATGTCTGAACTCTGCTCCTTATTTGCATGGAGTAAACTGTGAGCCCTTCTTGTGGGGGAGAAGACTCCCATCTGCTTGGTGGTGGATTTTGTACCTTTTGATTGTATTTTTAGGGTCACAGCTCACCTCAGGAAGGTTGAAGTGCGCTCTTCAATCTTCTCTCTTTGCTCTGCTCCAAACCATCAGCTCCTTTGCTAAACTTCTGTCCTTTGAGCCTCCTTCTGGATGGGAGCCTCTGTAAAAAGCTGGCTGCAGTCCACCATCTTGGCTCCACCCCCTCTTTTTACTTTTTTAATGGGGCCACTAGGGAGTTTAAAGTTACTGTTGGTCACGTTGGATCTTTATTGTATACTATTGCCCTTGATAAGGATATAACTAACATTAGTTGAGAATTTACCATGTGCCAGGCAGTGTTTTTGGAAATATTTTCTCATTTAAAGTTTAACCATATGAAGTAGATTCTGAGTAGAATCTTTTTTATACAATCTCCACTTTCTCTCTCCCTTTTTTTTGAGACAGAGTCTTACTCTGTCCCCAGGTTAGAGTGGCCATGGTATCAGCCTAGCTCAGAGCAATCTTAAACTCCTGGGTTTAGGTGATCCTCTTGCCTCAGCCTCCCAAGTAGCTAGTACTACAGGTACCTGCCACAATACTTGGCTAAGTTTTTCTATTTTTAGGAGAAATGGCGGGGAGGGGTGTCTCACTCTTGCTCAGGCTGGTCCGGGGCTCCTGAGCTCAAGGGATACGCCCATCTCAGCCTCCCAGAGTGGGAGGGTTATAGGTGTGAGCTACCACGTGGGCCACAATCTGCATTTTGAGTGATCTCTGGGGTATCAGGTTCCTAGCCCTTCTGTGAGACATTCCTTGGGCTCACTGAATGACCCTGGTGCTTGTTGCTCTCTGTTACACCTTTATTCTTGTCCTCAGTTAGTTTAGCTATGTGATTACTAAGAGCTAGTTGCATGAATGATTCCATTCTGGGTCAAATCTCAGTTATTACTCTGTCATGGCCATGGGCAACCTGTCCACCCTCTTACCAAGTATGCAAGTTCCTTGGCCCCCCACTCTCTGCATCAGTGCTGGGCGAATGGAAGACCCAAGTGTCCAGCCACTTCAGTAAGTGCACATTTTATTACAGAAACAGCAGGGAGGACTGACAAGGGGCTGTGGTAAGGGAGCAGTGGACACCCCTGCAGATGCTTAGCTCTCTGGGCCTCTAGAGGAACCTTCCCACAAACCTTAGGCAGAGTCTCCACTCTTCACCCCACACTGGCACTCCAGGGCACAGAGAGCTTTCTGGGGAGGTGACAGCACCTGGGAGATGGAGGCCTGGAGAAGGCTGAGATGAAGCAGGCTCACTAGAAAGAACAGCAGGGGTCATTTCTAAGGAAGGGAAGAAAGGAGAGAGAATTGGTGCATTTGTGTCCATGTAGTCTCACACTCCTTGCCTCAGGTGCCTACTTGGTCCTGGGGCTCTGCATGACCTGCCCCAGCCTGCCTCCTGCCAAGTTGTCCTCTGCCCTGCCAGGCAGTCCACAGGCTCCAACCCACCACCAGCAGTGTCTCCTTTTCAGAGAGGGGTCTTGCAACCACCTGTTAAAGACAGCTGAACTGTCTAGTACCTCTCTCCTTTAATAATTCTTTGTTGTTTTTTTGTTTTCTGGAAATTGAAGTAAAATGCCCATAACATAAAATTTGCCATCTTAACCATTTAAAAACATGTGATTCAGTGGCTTCCAGTACTTCACAATGTTGTCCAATCCTCACCACTGTCTAATAGTAGAACATTTTCACTGACCCAAAAAAGAAACTGATTAGGCACCCATCCTCCGGAAAGCCCCTGGCAACTACTAACCTGCCTTCTGTCTGTGAATTTGCCTTATCTGGATATTTTGTATAAATGGAATCCTATGCTATGTGACCTTTTTGTCTGGCTCCTTTCACTCAGCATAGCATTTTCAAGGTTCGACCATGTTGCAGCATGTGTCAGCCCCGTCTTCCTTTTTTTTTTTTTTAGACAGAACCTCAAGCTATCCCCCTGGGTAGAGTGCCATGGCATTACAGCTCACAGCAACCTCCAACTCCTGGGCTCAAGCGAGTCTCCTGCCTCAGCCTCCCAAGTAGCTGGGACCACAGGTGCCCGCCACAACGCCCGGCTATTTTTTGGTTGCAGCCGTCATTGTTGTTTGGCGCAGCTGGGCTGGATTCAAACCTGCCACCTTAGGTGTATGTGGCTGGTGCCCTAGCCGGTTGAGCTATAGGCACTGAGCCCCCTTCTTCCTTTTTAAGAGCTAAGTAATATTCCACCACAGGACTTGTTTATCTCAGTGATTTTCAACTGGAGTACCGCCACACCCTGGTGTGCTTTGAGAGGATCTTAGGTGAGACCCCCAAAATTTTAAAGATCAAATTAAATTATTTTCAAAAGAAATTCAAGGCATAGTAAGTATATTCTTTTCTTTAACTCTTTTTTTATCAACATAATTTAAGTGTGCTGCGGAAGTTTATAGGTTCAAGCATGCTGTGAGATAAAAATGGTTGATGAACACTGGTTTATCCATTCAGCAGTCAATGGGCAGGGCTGCAACCATCCATTTGTGTGTTGTCTTTGGCTGCTTTGGGCTACAGCAGCAGAGTTGAGTAGTTGAACAGCAATCACATGGCTTGCCACTTCCTTCACCTGGCATCTCTCACCTGTCTTCTGGCTGGCTGGCTGCCTCTCATTCTCAGATTTTTTCCAAAGAGGCTTTCCTTGACCACCTGACAAGCCAAGGCAGAGCTCTCCAGTTTTCCTTCTTGTAACATCCTGTGCTTTTCCTCTGTGGCTCTAAGTATCACCTGTAGTTATCTATTCATTTGCTTTATTACCATCCCTTTGTGAGCACAGGAATCTTTTCTGCCCTGTTCCAGGGTCCACTGATGAGTAGTTGTTCAATAATAATTCGTTGACTGAGTTCCTCAATAAATTAAACATGGAATTGTCAGATGACCCAGCAATTCCTCTTCTAGGTATATATCCACAAGAATTGAAAACAGATGTTCAAACAAAAACTTGTACAGGAACATTCATGGCAGCACCACTCACTATAGCCAAATGGTAGAGAGGACCCAATGTCCTTCAGCTAATGAGTTGATGAACAAAATGTAATGTACCCGTGCACTGAGGTGTTATTCATCCATCAAAAGTAATGAAGTGCTGATACATGGCACAACAGAGGTGAACCTTGGAAACGTCACACTCAACAGAATAAAGCCAGATACAAAAGGCTGTGTGATTCCACTTATACGTGTCCAGAACAGGCAAGTCTGCAGACACAGAGAGTGGTCTCGGGGGAGGGGGAGCAGGCAGAGGCATGGGAGAAACTATGCTGTACTTAATGGATACAGAGTTTCTTTTTTGGATGACAAAAAATCCTGGAAATAGATAGTGGCTATGGTTGGACAATCTTGTGAGCATTCTGAATATCACTAATGGGAAATTTTATGTTGTGCATATTTTGCCACAATTTCTAAAAATCCAAAATAAAACAGATTGAATGGATTTCTAAATGAATTCCTCCAGCTCTGTGTGACCCCACCCTATGCAACATGCTTGCTTCATGGGCTGTGCCAGGCAGTGGCTTGAAAGTCAGGGTGATGAACTTAGGATTTTTCATAAAATTATGCAATTCTATGATTGCAGCTTCCAAGCCCACCTGAGTCCCCCACCTCAAAAGAAGCTCCCCCTGCCCCATGCCTCCTGTCATAGCATACCTGATGTCCAGATCCAGGTTACAGTAGTGGCAGTAGCACTTGGGTTGGGAGGTTGATGAAGGAGCAAACCGGGAAGAGAGAAAGAGACAGGCAGGGCGGGGGTAGAGGGGTGGGAAGTGAGCTCCTTCCCTTCCCTTTTCTCCATATTGACTGAGCTGGGGTTGCTCAGCCTGGCACCTCTGGCATTTTGACCTGGACCATTCTTTGTTGTGCTGAGCTTTGCTGGGCAATGCAGGGTGCTGAGCAGCATCCCTGCTCTCATCCTCCAGTTGCCAGCAGAGTCCCTCCTCTTGCTGTAACAGCCCCACAGGGCTCCAGACCCTGCTGAAGGTCCCCAAGGTGGCAGAGTCACTCCTGTTTGAGAACCGCCAGTTGTTCTAGGGCTCCAGAGTTTGGGGCCTGTGTTGGTGCCTCTGTTCTCTCCTGTCCCTCGCACCCTGTACATCAGCAATTCTCACAGCTCTTGTCCCCACCAGACACCCAATCTCCCACCCTGCCACCTAGACTACTCCCCCAGTCTTCTGCTTCCCTCTCACTCCCCATGAGCAGCACCCAGGTGACACTTCTGTAGCTCAGGTCAGATGTGGCCAAGGCTCTCTGCCAAATTTGAGTACAAGTGTCTGTCTTGCCGAGGTCTCTGGGAAGTCCATGTGATCACACACTCTGGTCATGGAGATTCTCCTTGGGTCCCCCAGGACCTGTCCCCACATCTGCTGGTGGCAGCAATTGCCCCATGGAGATTACCACATCAGGACCTTCTCACGCCTCGGTCCAAACACTGAACATCACCTGCTCAGGGACAGTGGCAAGACCAGACTGGGCTCATCTTGTGGAGGTTGCTGCCTGTTACTTCTCAGTCCCCCATCCCTTTTGCATGGGCCCTGTGGGCTCAGGGGCCTTGTTGTTTTGTCCTCTGTATCCTCAGCATCCAGTATGGCTATGTCCACTACCCATGGGAATGGTTGAGGGGTGGGTGGGTGGTGGATGGACAGCAATTTCTGCTTCTTGCTCCTTGCCCTGTCGTCTCTGACCCACATGGGGCTCCCTCTTGAAAATGCTCCCTGTTTCTCTTCCCCTGGCCAAGTTCATCCCATTCCTAAGGCTCAGTGGATCTGGTTCCTTCAGGAAGGCCTCCCTGAGCTGGGGTGAGAACACAACCTCCCACCAGCCTCTTGGTACTAGGAACCACCAGGCTCCAGACCCAAATCCTCTGCACCTGTGTCCTGACAGGACCAGGACCCCCAGAGGCTGCTCAACCATCACAGTCCCAGCTGTCAACAGGAGACGTGGTCCTTCAGGATCTCTCTTTTGGGGGGGGGACAAAGAGACAGAAACACAGAGACAGAGATAGACAGAGAGAGACATTAAGACAGAAAGAGTGATAGAGGGAGACAGAGACACACAGAAAGGATGAGTGGGAATCTTTTACAGGGAGCTCAGGGACTGTGTTGGTGCAGAAGGAGGCTCTTATCCCAGCCTGCAGGGTGGGAAGGGAGGAAGAGAGGGAGAGGAGAGAGAGGGTGTTCACAGCAGGGGTCTCCTCTCCTGCCATTTCTACTTGGACCACTTCCTTGGTCCTCTCCTTCCCTCTGTCTTATCCTCCTCTACCCCTCCCAGCACTTCCTCCTCCTCCTCTGACCCCCCAGCCCCCCACCCCCCTGTTCAAATCCCTGGCACTGGCTCCTTCTTACCCAGTCTCCCTTGTTGTAGGACACGAACAAGAAGGTTAACACCATGTAGGCACATTTCAAGAAGTTCCATGAATTCTTCTTCTTGGGGAGCAGTTTCTTGGGTGGGCTGGTGACCAGAGCGGGCTTAACTGTAGAGTTTGAGGGTGGGACTCAGGGTGGCACCTAACCCTAACCCAAACCTGAATCTCCACCTGCCTCCGGGGCTGAAATTTTGGTCCACACTGGGCCTCCCACCATGTTGGTTCCCACCCATTATCCTGGACAAAGAGTCCAAGCCTTTCCAGCTGCCCTCCCACACACTGGGACCTTCACTGCACGGGATTTTTACTGGGCTCCTCTCCCCTCACCCCCAACCTGGCTCTCCTACCTTTCTCACCCACCTCCTGCTAAGAGGACTTTTCCAGCACCCACATCAGAATATTAACTTTCTTATTTTGATCCTCAAGTGGTACAAAAAAGTTGTTTTTACTTCATGCTTTTTCTCTTGTCTCTCTCTTTTTTTTTTGAGGCAGAGTCTCACTATGTCACCCGGTAGAGTGCCATGGCATCATATAGCTCACAGCAACCTCAAACTCCTGGGCTTAAGCGAGTCTCTTGCCTCAGCCTCCCAGTATATGGGACTACAGGCACCCACCACAACACCCAGCTATTTTTCTTGCAGTTGGCCCTGGCCAGGTTCAAGCCTGCCAGCCTCAGTGTACATGGCTGGCGCTGTAACCACTGTGCTATGGGCACAGAGCCTTTCTTGTCTTTTTGTTTTAAAGATATTGCACTCAGGAAAATTCAAATGTTTATAGGTAAGCATACCTGTCTGAATAGGTCCCAAATCCCAAACTGAAACATTACCAGTGTAAAAGTAAGTACAAATGGAGAAAAAGAAATTTCTCCTTGTTGAAAAGTCAGGAAGAGGAAGAGATTTTTTTCTTGTCCCTTTTCTAGGGGTTTACTTTAGGAAACTTGTCCTTGTCAAGTCTATGTTTCTTTGAAGTATATGCAAATCTTTTTAAAAGCTAAATAAGCCTCCTGCTAGCCATGTGACCTGGGATGTCTTTCTCAAGTTTCTTGGAGCCATCTCTCAGAAACACACACTTTCAGGGAAGAAGACAGCACCTTTTGGCTCATACCTCAGGAGGTCAGGTCTCCTTGGTACCAGGAACAGTATGGAATGGAAAGGTGGAAGACATCGGACACCCTCAAGGAGGCAGGCTATCCCACACTGCAGCCCCCATCTTCCCTCCATAAGGCTTTACTGTGGCTTCAACCTTGGAGTAGCTCACTGCCCTCTAGACAGGGAAAGGTGGGACATGTACTCACATTCCTCCTTGCAGCCGTTTGTTTCTTCTAAAAATGAAGAAGGAGAAGCAAAAGAAGGAGGAAAGGAAAGAAAATAAGAAAGGAAGGGAGGAAGGAACAGAGGAGGGAAGGAAGGAAGGGAAGAAGGAGGTAGGGAGGAAGGAGGAAATAAAGAAAGAAAAAGAAAGAAGGGAGAGTCAGTGAGTCATGAAATGGAGACCAAGCTGTAAACAGTTCTTTGTCCCTCTAGTGAGGAGAGAGATGCTTCCTCGGTGTCCCTGTCCTTGCTGTTTCCTGTTCCAGGGCCCTGCACACCCCACTCCCCAGCCTGGAGTCCCTCCCCCAAGTGTGCTCACATCCATTCCTCAGCACCTAGTTTGAGTGCAAATGTCGCCTTGCCTGGTGGCCTCTAGAAACCCACCCTCCTCTCCTGCACCTTGGTGTGCTCACAGGGCTGCATGGTACCCAGAAGATTGTAACCTGCTTCTTGAGCCATCTGTTTCATTCTCCTCTAATCCCACCCCCACAGATGTCTGCCTGTGGTCCTCCCTGTAGCATCTTCACCTGGAAGGAAGACCCGCAGGGCCTCTGACCTCAGTTCACACTTCTTGGACTGATAAATGGGTAAAGCATCTGTGATGCTGATGACGCCTTCAGGCTCCCCCAGGTTAAAGACACTGATGGCTTTAGCACATAGGAGTGAGTGCAGGACAGTGGCAGCAGACTCACCGTTCAGCACCTGGAGGCTCAGCAGACCTGACGGGACAAACACATGTGGACAGGGTCACAGAAGGCAGCCGACACAGGCTCCCAGACAGCAGGTTCAGCAAGCTGTCTCCAACCCACTGCCCCCAAGAATCCTATCTGGGTCCCTGGACACCTTCTCTTTGCACTGTCCCTGGGGGCCCTCTTCCTCGGGCTGTTGGCATGTGTTGTAATTTAGCTGTATATCACTTGTCATTTTCCCTGTCAGACTTCATTGGCAGAATGAGCAGACTGGACTGGTGAGTCTGAGACCTTTCAGGTCTGCACCATGGTCCTGGCAAAAACAAGCCTCCCACAGGGGCCAGGGTGCATGAAGTGAGGTGCTTACCTAGTATCTCTGATTTGGTCCATCCAGGAAAAAGTAGGGTCCAAGAGGTGAGGCAGGGGCCAGGGGACAGACGAGGTCCAGGGTGCAGAGTCCGAGGAGGCCAGGGAAGACGGGGCCACATGCAGGTAGAGTACCACATGGTTAGAGGCAGGAGGTGGGGTCAAAGGACAGGGGTCCCTGATATGGTAAGCAGGCAGGACTTGAATGGGGCAGACCCTCAGGGGCCCTGTTGTGTGCATCAGAGGAGAACCTGATTGCTGGGGGCCTTCCTGGGGCTGGGCTCAGGCTGGAAAGGAGCTCCCCACTTTCTTCCTCTGCATGCAGCATCTCTGTGATGGGGGCACCCAGCATGCCAAACATCGCAGGGTGGCAGTTAGTCCCATCACCTGCTGATGTTATTTCCTGAACTTATTTTTTATAACAACTTGATTGAAATATAATTCACATAATTTACAATTCGCCCATTAAAAGTGTACGAGGGGCTCAGTGCCCATAGCACAGTGGTTACTGCGCCAACCACATGCACCAAGGCTGGCTGGTTTGAGCCTGGCCCCAGCCAGCTAAACAACAATGACAACTGCAACAAAAAATAGCTGGCATTGTGGTGGGTGCCTGTAATCCCAGCTACTTGGGAGGCCGAGGCAAGAGAATCACTTAAGCCTAAGAGTTTGAGGTTGCTGTGGCACTCTACTGAGGGCAACATAGTGAGATTCTGTCTCAAAAAAAAAAAAAAAGTGTACGAGGTAATTTTTTTAGTACATTCACAGAGTTTCACAACTGTCACCATAATTGGTTTTAGAACATTTTCATCACCCCCCACCCCAAGAAGTCCTATACCTGTCAGCTGTGCTTGGTGAATAGCCACCCAAGCCTGTGCTTGGTGAATAGCCACCTCCACTGCCCTCCCAGGATGTCGGTTTTGGATACTTTATGTAAATATAGCCCCACCCTACTGGGCTTTGGGTCTGGCTCCTTTGGCCAAGCATCATGTTTTAAGGTTCATCCATGCTGTGGTCTATACCATTGCCCCATTTATTTTTCTGCATGTGCTAGGCACAGAGCCTCACTTTTGTAATTCCAGTACTTTGGGAGGCTGAAGTGGGAGGATCTCTTGAGTCCAGGAGGTTGAGACCAGTCTGTGCACCACAGTGAGACCCCATCTTTACAAAAGTAAAAAATAAGTCATTTGTGGTGGTGCACACTTGCAGTCTCAGCTACTTGAGAGGCTGAGGTGGAAGGATTGCTCAAGGTCAGGAACTAGCAATTACTGGGGGAAAGAAATTCTCACCACCCTGATGCGAATACAGCCACTCTGGGAGACAGCTGGTGAGAAAAAGCAGGCCAGAAACCAAACTGTGATCACAGCAACCTGTTCTGCACCCCCTGGAATGCTTCAAGACCAGTGTTTCTGGTAAACAACAGAACAATAACTATAATTCTGGCCTAGGAAGGTGGCCAATTAAAAATTTGCCCTGAGTGCAAAGATTAGTCCCTCTGCAGAAGGGATGACTCCCTCTGGCAACTCCTTCCCACCTTTACCACTCCTGGTAAGGGATAATAAAAGCTTCTTGAAACTGAGAGCTGAGCTGATTGCAAATGTGACTCCACTCTGCTCTTTTTTTCTCCTTTGTTTGCTAATAAAGCCTTTCCAATCACTGGACTGCCTCCTCTCCTTCATACCACCATCCCCCGACTCTACCCCAGAACCCCTCAGAGAGAAAGAGAATATTTATATCTCTGTAATGCTTTTGTGTGGCAGCTTCTCTTCTTTCTAGAGGGCGGGACCACTCCCACCTCCCTAGATGTGTACTAGGTTTCCCTTTACTTAAACTTCCACTCTGTTGCTACACAAATCTCCTTTCCCTTTTTGCTGACCCTGTTCCTGTTTTGCTCTTGGTTTCTAAGTTCCTTTCTATTTGAGCTGCACCTGGGTTGAACTTGCTAGTTCCACTGAGTAAACAAATCAAGGTTAGCTGGGTTTGGGGAATCGGACCCCAGATCCCAAGGATCCAGACTGCCTGGGTTCAGATTCTTCTCTGCACCTTCCCAGCTATGTGACCTTGAGCAAGTTACTCCCCCTCTCTGTGCCACAGTATCCTCACTTGTAAACTGAGAATGAGGACTCAAGGGTTACCAGTAGTCATTACTGAGGACCAAGCTAGAAACCTGGAATGTGCTCTCAAGGTATGGGGTATTATTTTTCAATTTCATTTCTCATACCAAGATCTCTTGGGTTTGACTGCGTGAAGGTGGGACATGAGGGTGGGCAGGCAGAGTGGCCCAGGCAGTGCATTAGGACTGGGTTTTCGATGGCTTTGAGTGTGGGACAAAGGAGTGTGGCCATAGCCAAAGGTGGGAACAATCCACATGTCTGTCAACAAATAAAAACAAATGTGGTTGTCCATGCATCAGGGGATCACTGAGCCCTAAGAAGGACTAAGATGCTGGCAAGAGCAACATGGGGCATGAACCTTGAGGACATTATGTGGAGGCCACACAGTGTGTGATTCCACCTACCTGAGGTCCCTGGGCAATCAGACTTGGAGGGACAGAGAGAACAACCTGCTTGCCAGAGGCACTGGGGGAGGGGCAGCACAGAGTTGGTGCTTCGTGGGTATAGAGCTCTGGTTTGCAGAGACTAAACAGTTCTGGAGATGGATGGGTGTGATGGTTGCACAATATAGTGAATATAGCAAGTGCCACTTGATCGCACACTTTAAACAAAATTTACCTGTTGTGTGTTATACCACAATTTTAAATGTTTTATAAAAAAAAAAAGCATGTGCCCTCTGTTTGACAAACAGTGCCTTTTTTAGGGAAAGCATCACGAAACAGCCAGGGTGGTCTTCAGGGAAATAGGTCTGCTTGTCTTAAGCAGGGACCAATGACATGGGTAAGCTACATAGTCCACTGACCCATGACCTACTCCGGGACCTATTCCCTGAGCTGGCAATCTTCCCTTGCCTCACAAAAGTGCAGGTGCAAAATGCCTGCCTGTGAAGACAGTTCAGGGATTGATAACCCAAATACATTAAAAGTGCTGCCCCAGGGCCCGGTGCCTGATAGGCTCTCAGGATTCCAGCTATGGTCACCAGTACCACCCCCATGCAGATGAAGGAAATAGAGCTTATTCTTTACCCATCCCTGGGCTTGAAAAGATGCTTGGAAGATGGGAGGTGATTCATGGCTAAGAATTGACTTCCTTTGGCAGAGATGAGAAGAAGAACAAAAGAATGAAAAAAAATGAGACAAGAAACTTACGTTTCAATACTGTTGAGATTCAAACAACAAGGTGGAGAGAATCCAGCAGGAGCCATTGGTCACCGGCAGAGGCACGAGGGGAGAGGGAAAAAGAGGTGTTAGTGACACCGCCTTCCTGGCTCACCTGTCTTGGTGCTCCAAGGAGACAACCAAATAAGGGGGATGAAAGTATTTTCCCAATTCTGTGGGAATGGCTGGGACCAAGCTGGGTGACTCTGGATGCTTCTGTGAAACTTGTCTCCTCTAGGGATATATTTTTATCCCAGGGCCTAGAATCCCCAAGTGGCCATATGGGTGAGGATTCATCTTCCATAGATGATATTATTAGGAGAATGTGCCCTTTGATGCGCCTCTGTTCTCTCTCTCCTTGCCTGATTCAGAGTCCCTCCCAACACATGTGCAGGGCTCAGTAATTCTTCGTTTTCTGGGCCTTAGTCTCTGAGTGTCTGGCAGAAGCCTGGGAGTTTGATGGGTGAAGGGAACCCATGCCCAGCCACTCAGCTGCCCAAGACCTCTCTCAGGACTGTCCCACCCTGGGGTATGGTGCCCACAGCCACCCCAGACTCCTCCAGAGATGGGTTTCTCTTAACCATCATCCCAAACCAAGAAGAACCATCAAGACTCCTCTTTTCTTTCTTGTTTCCTCTTCTTCTCAGTACCCCCAAACAACCAGGCACCCACAGAAAAGGAAAAATAACTTACCTTTCACTGGAAGGTGAGGCAGAACCAGCAGTCAGGGAGTCAATATGGGAAAGAGTGAGCAAGAGAGTAGGGTCAGCGTTGCATTCCAGGCAGTTATTCCTTCATCAAATAATTAAAAGTTATTTAAAATTTTTTTTTACTGTGACTGTTAAGGTAAACCCAAATAGAGATCAGGCCTGGAGCAAGGTAGTCCTCAGAGGTGACACCCCATCCCCAGTCTTGCCTGATTCCCAGACAGAAGTGAAACTTACAGGTATTTCCTGTAAAGGCCGACGTTAAAGAAAAACTTAACCTCAGTCAATCAGAAGCAGCCAACAAACTTAATACAACTGGGGACGCTGCAATAGGGCATATGGAATCCAGCAACTGTCTGGCTGTAACCAAGCAAGCATGTTCTTCACTGTACCTGCACATATGTCCTATAAAAGCTTCCCCTTGTGTTCCTCAGGGAAGTGGAGGGGTTGGGGAAGTGGGGGTGGTCCCTTGGAGCTGTCTGACTTATGAATCATTGTTTGCTGAAATAAACTCTTGAATTTAAAGTTTTATTGCACTGGCCAGGTATGGTGACTCACACCTCTAATCTCAGCATTCTGGAAGGCTGAGGCCAGTGGATAGCTTGAGCTCAGGAGTTTGAGACCAGCCTGAGCTAGAGTGAGACCCCATCTCTTCTAAAAATAGAAAAATTAGCCAGGAGTTGTGG